TACTTGAAGAGGTATGAAACAGTCAGTATACCTAATATAGGATCACACCTGGAAATAAAACACACTGTCACCTGCCTAGAACACAGTGAACCCTCACTACACACAGTCAACAGACCTGGCACGGGTATTAAAACTACTTGCAGAACTAGAGTTAATTGGTTCCTTGACGACAAATTCCCACACCTGTCAGTGTGCGATGGTGCCTGGGGTGCCAGACAGCGGCACTCTTACAAGACAAAGTGTTGACGTATCGCAACCTGTCTTTGAGGTTTCATGTCTGGGTTTAGATGTGCACATAGGACGTGTAAACACACACTGACACACAACACACACACACACACACCACACACACACACACTCACACAAACACACACAAACATACACACACATACATACTTACAAACATCAATTCTCTAATCTTTACAACTCAAATCACACACACAAACACAATCAGTTCCTGTATAGCCTACGCACACTCGAAAACATTTTCGTTGACAATTTATCAAATAATTTCTCCTCCTCCTCTTCTCTTCCTCACCGACAGACCACACCATCAACCTCGAAAAATAGATAAATCAACAAAAAGACATAAAAAAGATAATCATACACATACACCCTGGTTATTCACATGCTAATAATGACACTGACTGGCCAGGGAGAGGGGAAACCGCCCAGCGTTACGACACACAGACACAGACAGACACTCCTCCTCTTCACGCCCACGACTCCACGCCCATGCAGACGCTGCCCGGAAGAGAGTGAGGGGCGGGGTAGCATCATCAGGTTCCCCTCAGCATGCCGGGGAGCAGCAGGAGGAGGGGAAGGAGGAGGGTCGACGATCCGGCTCCTGAGGGGAAAGAAGTCGTCTTGTAAAGGGTCTGTTATATATTTATATATATATATATATATATATATATATATATATATTATATATATATATATATATATATATATATATATACATATATATATTATTTTTTTTTTTTTTTTTTTTTTTTTTTTTTTTACTTATTGTTATTGTTATTATCTTTATTGTCAGTATTATTATCACTGATGTATGTATATTTTATTTGTTGGTATTGTCATTATCTTTGTTATCATTATCATTATCACTGTTATTATTATTGATATTCTTATTGGTGTTATTGTTACTATCATTGCTGTTATTATTTGAATTGTTAGATATTATTGTTATCATTATTGTTATTTTCATTATTATCATTATTATTATTATTATTATTATATCATTATTATTATTATTATTATTATTTCTTATTATCATTATTATTGTTATTAGTATTATCTTTATTATCATTGTTATTATTATTACTATTATCATTATTACTATCATCATCATCATCACTAATATTGTTATATGTTCATCATTATCATTATTCTTATTACTAATATTATATCATCTATATATTACTAATATTATTGACACCGTTATTACATTATTGTCATTATCATCATCATCATCATTATCATCATCAGTATCATTATGATAATTATCATCACCATCATCATCATCATAATAATAATAATCATAATGATAGTAATAATAATACTATCATTATCATCATCATCATTATCACTGCATGAAATTTCTGCATTAATACAATTAGTTTCATGACGCTTTATCAGCAAGTTATTAAATCATTGTATGTATAATATTCATTAGATATCATCAAATATTTAGTAAGCTTGACTGATCTTTAAAAAAAATGATGCGTAGATTTTTTTTCTGGATATATATACATATGTTTTTTTAAGCTATATCTTAATATCTATATTAAGATTTTTTATTTTTTTTTAAGCTATATCTACATATTTATAATCTCCTCGAAGGTCAATTTAGTCTTGCTGGGGTATTTTTCTTTCAAAGTTCTTTTTTTCCCCTAGTCGGGAAAAGTCTAGTGTAAGTAATATCTCCCGCAGCCCAAATTTCCCCCAACTTTTAGGGGAAAAAAAGGGAAGAAGAAGGTAAAAAAAAAAAAAAAAAAAAAATCAAAACATATTTTTTTTTTCCTTTTTTTTAAACAATCACGAGAGATTATTAAATTATTATTTGATTGAATAATATTACAAGAATTCTGCACCTGTTATCTCATCAAATACAACCCTCAGTTCTTTAGAATTTAACTTTCCAGTCAATTAAGAAATGTTATACCTCCATCGTGAATATGTGATTTGAAAAAAAAAAAAAAAAAAAAAATTTCTAGACTGTTATTAAAGGTACACTGATCAATTAACTTAATGAATGCCAAATACGGAGCGATGAAAGAGAGAAGATAAAGAGAGAGAGAGAGATAAAGAGAGAGAGAGAGAGAGAGAGAGAGAGAGAGAGAGAGAGGAGAGAGAGAGAGAGAGAGAGAGAGAGAGAGAGAGAGAGAGAGAGAGAGAGAGAGAGAGAGAGAGAGAGAGAGAGAGAGAGAGAGAGAGAGAGAGAGAGAGAGAGAGAGAGAGAGAGATAAAAAGAGGTGGAAATGAGTGAGAGAAAGAAAAAGATCAAATGAAGGAGATATAGGAAAAAAAGTAAAAAAAAAAGTAAAGACAAAATGAAAGAAGGAAATAAAAGAGAAATAGAGACCAAAAATACTGTAATCAGAATGAATAAAAAAGCAAAACGCAAAAAAAAGTGGAAAAAGACATAATATTGTACTAAGAAAGAAAATAATAAAAAAAATAGTAGAAAGGAAAAAATAAATATACAACAAATACAAGAAGAATACTGCATGAATAATAATGAAAGAGAAAAAAAGGAAAAAAAAAAGAATGAAGCAAATAAGTGAAACAAAATAAAAAAACAAACGAAAACGAAAAAGAAAAAAAAAGACGAAAAGAAAGAAAGAAAAGAAAAAAGCCGAAAGCAAAGAAAAGCAAGTAAACTTGAAAGAAGAAGAAGAAAAAAAAAACGTAAAAAGAAGAAAAAAAGAGATAAAAACTACAAAAAAACACACACACACACAAAAAAAGAGTAAAAAAAAAAAGCCCAAAACTCCAAGCCTCCGAACGATGCTCACCGGCGGTGGAGGCCCCCTCTCTGGGCGCGCTCTGGATGTAGCTGGAGTCCGGTATGTGGATCTCGGAGGAAATGTTGTAGACGTGGAGGATCGTGGCTATGCACCGCAGGACCAGGACGCCGTTGCGGAAGTGCTCCCGACGAAGGCACATCTGCAGGCCGGACCACGACGACTCGCGCCCTTCCCGGTCCTTGTCCCGCGGGTACACGACAACGGTCTCGCGGAGGGCCTGTGGGGAGGGGTGGTGAAGAGGGGTGAGTTGGGGGTGGTGATGAGAGGGGTAGTGTGATGAGAGGGGGGGGTGATGAGTGGGGGTGAGTAGGGGGTGGATGAGAGGGGGTGGTGGTGAAGGGGTGGGTTGGTTGGGGGAGGGTGGAGAGAGTAGGGGTGGTGAGAGGGGGTGGGGTTTGGTTTGTTGGTTGGGGGAGGGGGTTGGGAAGGGGGGTGGTGATGAGAGGGGTGGGTTGGTTGGTTGGGGGAGGGGGTGAGACGGAGAGAGTAGGGGTGGTGATGAGAGGGGTGGGGAGAGTAGGGGGTTGTGAGGGGGTGGGTTGGTTGGTTGGGTGAGGGGGGGTGAGTAGGGAGAGAAGGGGTGGTGGTGAGAGGGGTGGGTTGGTTGGTTGGGTGAGAAGGGGGTGGTTGGTTGGTTGGGGGTGAGGGGGTGAAGGGGGTGATAAGAGGGGTGGAGAGAGTAGGGGGTGGTGGTGAGAGGGGGGTTTTGGTTGGTTGGTTGGGTGGGGGTGAGGGGGGTGAGTAGGGGGTGGTGATGAGAGGTGGAGAGAGTAGGGGTGAAGGGGTGAGAGGGGGGGGTTGGTTGGGGGAGGGGGGTGAGGGGAGAGAGAGTAGGGGGTGATGAGAGGGGTTTGGTTTGTTGGTTGGGTGAGGGGGTGGTGGTGAGAGGGGGAGAGTAGGGGGTGGTGTGAGAGGGGGTTTGGTTGGGGGTGAGGGGTGAGGGGGGGAAGGGGGTGTGTTTGTTTGGTGTTTGGGTTGGGTTGGGTTGGTGTGTGGTTGGTTGGTTTTTTGGGTGTTTGTGTGTGTGTTTGTTTGTATGGTGGGTTGGTTGTGTGTGTGTGTGTGTGTGTGTGTTTATCTGCCTGTCTGTTTCCCTGTCTGTCTGTACGCGTGTTTCCGTTTGTCTGTCTTTATGTTTTACTCTCTGCTTTTATGCCTGTCAGTTTTGTCTGTCTGTCCTTATATCTTCTTGTCTGTCTACCGTCTCTATCTGTCACTATCTGTCACTGTCACTATCTGTCACTGTCGACTATATCTGTCACTGTCACTATCTGTCACTGTCGACTCATATCTGTTACTATCTTCCTATTTATCTATCTGTTACCGTCTACCTTCCTGTCTATATATCTGTCTGCCCTTTTGTCTATCACTATCTATCTGTCACTTTATCTCGTGTTTGTACATTGTTTTGTCTGTCTGTCTGACATTTTATCTGTCTGTCTATTTCTCTCTTTTTTTTCTCATCGTCTTTCCCAGTTCTCTTTTTGTGTGATAAATGAGTTGAGATCATGACATATTAAAAAAGAAGAAGAAATTTCAGATTATGGCATATTGAAAAAAAAGAAAGAAAAATCTATTAAATTCCAGATCATGGCATATTGCAGAAAAAGAAAAAGAAAAAAGAAAGAATAAATACATTCCAGATCATGGCATATTGAAAAAAAAGAAAACAAAAAAAAAAGAGAAATAAAAAAAGGAAAAAACATAAATTCCAGATCATGGCCAAAAAAAAAAAAAAAAAAAAAAAAAAAAAAAAATCAGATCATGGCACATAAAAAAAAGAGGAAAATAAAGTTCAACAAATAACAACCATCGCCAAAAGTTGCAAATGTTCAGCCGCCGATGTGTTGCATGTCCTGCAAGGCGCCCATTGCACGCGGGAGACTGACACGACGGCCTCTCATTAACCGTATGACGTCACGATACATAACTATCATCAAAATTGGCGAACGATCTGTTTTGCTTCGTTGGTAGTTATTTGCCTGGGCTGATCACGTGACCCGGTGCGTGCCCGTGCGTGATTTTACATCTGGGGAGGCAAGGGGTGTGTGTGTGTGTGTTTGTGTTTTGTTTATATACACGTGTCTCTTTATCTCTCTCTCTTTCTGGTTCGTTCTCTTTCTCTCTCTCTCTCTTTCTGTTTCGTTCTCTTTCTCTTTCTTTCTCTCTCTCTCTCTCTCTCTCTCTCTCTCTCTCTCTCTCTCTCTCTCTCTTCTCTCTCTCTCTCTCTCTCTCTCTCTCTCTCTCTCTCTCTCTCTCTCTCTCTCTCTCTCTCTCTCTCTCTTCTCTCTCTCTCTCCTCTCTCTCTCTCTCTCTCTCTATATATATATATATATATATATATATATATATATATATATAATTATATATAAACTATATAGGAGTATAATTCTATACGCTTACACTTACACACACATACATACATAGACACACATACACACACAAAACACACACACAAAAAACAACTCGCGCACACTTGCACACACTCACAAACACACCACACCTTCACACATACACACATAAACACAAACAATCACACACCCCTTCCCCCCCTCACACGCACACACATGTAGACACACGCACATTCACGTACACACACAAATACTCAACGATTGTAAAATTGACGAAACAGTAATTAAACTTTAAGTATCTCTTGTTCCTTTTGCTCTTAATTGCTACTTTCAGGATTTTTTTGTTTATTATATTCAATCGTCTTGTTCTTCTAATTTTTTTTCATAATAATAAGACTCATAATAGTATAATTTCTAATGTCGTTATTGTCCTTGTTATTTTCATTATTGCTATTATCACTGTTGTTATTGTTATTATAATGATTATTGGTATTGTTTTTGTTATCACTGCTATTGTTATTATTATTATTATTATTATTATTATTATTATTATTATTATTTTATTATTATTATTATTATTATTATTATTATTATTATTATTATTATCATTATCATTATTTATTAATCATTATTATGATTCATTATTTCATCATTTGGATCATCATGATTATCATTATTAATATCATCATTTTAATCATATCATTGTTACTGTTTTTATTGTATATTTATCATTATTAGATACAAGAGATATAGGAAAGGCTATTATCATCATTATCATTATTAGCATTGTTATCATGATCACATTATTCTCAATATCAATATCATTATTATCATCACTATCAGCTGTGTCATCACCATCATTATCACTATCATCATGATCTTAACTTCCATAATTTTTTCCTCATTGTGGTTCATCTTTCTCTTGTGAAATTACTGAGTATGAAATGTGTAAATGCATTTTTTTCTTTTCTTTCTTTTTCATTTTTTTCGTTTTTATTTTCTGCTTTCGACTCTAATTAAAGTCTTTCCTTGTAATTAGGGACAAGAAACTGGACTTCCTGGTTGGTGGGAGTGGGTGGTGGTGGGTGGGGGAGGGGGAGAGGAGAAAGGGGAGAGGGGAGGGGGAGGAGGGAGGGGAGAGGGAGGGGGAAGGGAGTGGAAAGGGGA